ATTTTTAATGGGATGACCAAAATATACTCTGTGGTAAACAAACACTTGTTTACTTGTTTTTTTCCCCCGTTTTAATTTTTCTGGACTTTTTTTTTTTTTTGTTAAATTACATTGTATCAATCAAAAATGTCTAATTAATTAAAATCATGAAACATACAATTTAACATCAATTTATTAAAAGTTTAACAAAAATTATATGTTCAGGGCCCTATGAAATGTTTCTCTTACCTATTGTTACCAAATTCTGTTTATGCATGTCTAATGAAATATTGTTTTGTTTTTTTCCTCAGAAATTCTGTGCTTTGTATTTAAATATTTCTGGTTATCAAATGAAGGCCTTAAATATTAATTTAATTAATGTTTTAACCAAATAAAAATTCTAAACTTAATTTTTTGGCAAACAAATGGAATTTACTATTAACATTAAAACATGAAAGAAATATTATGTAATTATTCCTTAAGTTATTTGTAATAATTTGAGTAATAGTATTAGTAGTAGAGGTATGTACATTCTACTGAACAACAGTAACAGGCTATTTCAGGCACGATAATGTCTTCAAGTTAAACCGATCTTTTATTTTGACGGGCTGCCGTGAATACCTTTTACATTTCTGTGTGCATATATGACGATAGTTTCTCTCAAATGAAATGGTCAAATGCTCATGGACTGACTCTGAGCAGTTCTAGAAATGACTTCAATTTGCGACTGAATCAGATAAAGCAAGTAAAGAGCGCTCCTTTTATAATCATTGTAGATTATGGTCAGTTCAGTATAATACTATAGAATAATGGTACATTTGATAAGATTAGAATATATACATTTTAGAATATATACATTGTATGCTTCCAAACTTAAGCTCAGTGCTTTACTGTCAAATGTGCATTACCAAGAAATAAACGTGTAATATTATTAGTAACTGCACTTAATGCAAAGCAATAGTAATTTTTCTTTCACTCATAAAGGTAGCAAGGTAGCAGTGGAGCATCTCACTGTTATATAGTCTCGTATCACATAATTTCTGTCCCAGTGGTCTGATTCATCAGACAGCAGTTTGCATCAACAGTATTCAGTGTCTTTCAGTCCAGGGCAGTGCTCAGTATGCCGGATTGGAGTATTAGAGGATTAAGGGGCGTCCTTTCAAACAGCTAGTCAGCATATCTGAATACAGCAGTCTCCAGTCATTATTTTGCAGTAGCGTTTGTTGATGCTAGAGGCACATAAATTACACAGTTCACCTTTAAGGTCAAGTGTATTTGTTTCTGTATGTTGTTTTGAGGTTTACATTGCTTAGTATGGCCGGCTGCTCTGTGGAGTGCATTACAACTTACAGGCCTGCTGTTGCAGGAGAATTATCAGCTCATTATGGGCCTATTTGCCTCAGTGAGTCCTGTGTTCTCTTCCCCCAAGCTGCCAAACAGACCTGAGCACTGGCACTGGTCCCAGCCACAAAAACTTTAGCTCTTTCTCTTTTCCTGTCTCACCCACACACACTTACATGCATCCTATCAATGCCAATATATTTGTGACCAGGAAGTAAAGTTGACCGGGCTGAGAGAGCCCAGCTCAGGGAATACTAATGAGGACTTACCCAAGTACAATGGCGAGAAGCCTCTCTTCTTTCCCAAAGTAAGAGCTGAAAAAAGATTCTGGCAGACTATTTTGCTTCAAGTCAAAACGGCTAACTTTCAGTTTCTTTGGTTTACAGAGGACACACACACATACAGGCACTGAGACTCAGAAAATAGGATTTGTCAACAAACTATAACAATAACCTACTCTATTTATGTGATTTTTTTTTTTTTTGGCCTGGTCTTGATTAGTAGAGTTCTTGATGTCATTCCTGTGTTAGTTCTGCTATCATCTGTTGTAGTCGCCCCCTGCTGTCCGGTGCTGGTGGTCACCCAGTGACTGCCTATTCCTGATGTCACATCCTAACGTGAATGAATGGGAGCGTGGTGTAGTACATCAAGACTCATGGTTGTTGCATAAGACCCTCATGCATGTTGGCCCCTCCCTGCATTCTCCTACCAAGCGTTTTTGCAACTGAAAAAAATCGCAACGTCAGCAAAGCCCCCTGTTCTTCGCCCCACAGTACCACTGCTGTTTATTTGTATTTGCATGTTTATATTGAGTGAAAATGTAATAATAGTGCAGATGACATTTTTAGTATAGCATGAATAGAGTAGTTTTAGGGTGAATTATTATTGGGTGAATTATTACATATGCACTCTTGATGTGTTCAGTTCAATTCAAGATTAGCACAGTTAATACACTACAATGTATAGATCTGCACCTCTTTCACTTTAGGCGCAACTTTTAATTGTATATTTTTCACAAGATTTTAAAATAAGAATGGGAGACCTCTAATCAAAGTAACAAATGGCATCCTCTTTGTTTTAAAGGATGTTCTTCAATGTTGCCAAACATGCTCTGCATGTTCTGAGCCGGTGTTGCTGTGTCTTTGGATGTTTGTAGTGCTCAATTTTCATTGGGCAGAAATTGGTCCAGCATTTATCTGAACTAATTTATCTCCAGCAAGGGATTGTAAACTCCTTTGTGCTGCCTGTAAAGTACTCTGACTCTTTGTAAGAGTTACTACAGAAAAAGACAAACAAAACCGACCAATAACTGTTTAAATAGTGAAACCCAAAGCCAGCATTTAGATTTACTTGTTTGGGGTTTTCATAAAAGGGTCATTTGCAGGCAAGGGAATAATCAATAATGAGGCTTTGATTACATCATTGCATATTTGGCTGGAAAAAAGCTGGCTTTGGATTGGAGAATAATAAGAGTCTGTTCTCTTTGGGCTTTGGTGTATTGTGTGTATGGGAGGCGCTGGGATCATTTGTAAACAATGCCTTCCTTGATGCCAAGAGCTTGTGTGCTTTTGTAAGTGTTCATCTCGTTTTGGGGGTTTCTATCTCTACTGAAGCCATCCCTTATTTCCTCCCAGCATGCATGCTTTCCAGTCGTCTTTCACTTTCCTCTGCATCATTAAAGTGCGGGCACACTCTGTACAGATATTTAGCCCTTGGCCACCTGCCCGCCTCCATGTGAGCCTCATTTGGTCTGTTTATACTGTGTCCCATTCAGCCATTGAAGTGTTGTTTTCCTCTAAACTTGGGTCCGCACCTCTGGTATGCAGAGCTACAACTTCACACACCCACTGTACTTTTAATATTACAAGAAAGCTGTATACTTAAAATCAGCCAGTATGACAGGGAGCTGTTGTTTCTGTGTATACACAGTCCTTGCAGTGCAGCCTATGCTCTGAGGCAGGCTTGCTTTTGTGCATCTATTCAGCTCACTCTATTGTGAGCAGCGGTGCTAATTGCAGCCTGAATGGTCTCGGCTAAATGTTTTGTGACAGTTTGAAAGCATGAAAGAGAAGAGTACACAAGAAAAGGAATCCCTCTTTTTGGATTTGTTTTTCCTCCCTCCTAATGGCACAACAGAATGCTCTTGGCTTTAACCTTCAACTCCCGTGCAACCCTGTTTCCCCTCCCTCACTAGAGAGGCTCCTCTCCAAATCAGGAATAGAGGTAGATATAAATAACGCCCGGGTGAGGGAACAGATCGGATCCTGCCAAAGCCGTGTGGGATGAACGGGGCGGTCGCTCACGTACTGAGCTACAGCTCCTTGGCAGCATTTCAAATATGAGCCTCAGAAGCCTCGCGAGCAGCAGACATATTGTAACAGGGAATGGCCAGTGCTCTGCACGCAGCCTAGTGCTTCTCTCAGGATGGTCGGGCGACATCTCTCTTCAGGTACTTTTCCACTTCTCTGCAACCCCACCCCCACCAACCTCATAGTATGATCCTCCACGCACTGATAACAGGCTTTTCCTTTGCTTTGCTCTCTGCTGCACTGCTGCTGTTTGATCTGGAAGTGTAGCATTCGTGTAACTGCAAACAAAACGCAAATCCCTAAAGCTATTGCATTGCTTGTTAGAGATTAATGCAGGGCAGAAGTTTGCTATGCTCATCTGATAAGCTTTCTTCAGCGAGACACTGTAAGATATTGATGGCAGCGCTAAGCTTTTTGGCTTCAGTTCAGATTTGATAAAATGGCGTCCTTTACTACGCAGTGTCTGTACAGAAGGACAGCGTTTGTGTTGGAAACACACCATCCTCTCTCATAGACTCCCTCCTTTTTTTCTTATCTTTCGTTGAAAGTTTTTTTTGCGTGGTTGGTGAAAAAAAGACTGGTGTGCACGAGCACTGCAGCTTTGCTCAGATCTGACAGACTGAGCCGTGTCTGTGCATGTAAAGCCACACAAAACAACAACAACAGAGTTGAGCGAGTGCCAGGAGGCTGGCCAGCATTTGCCAACTAATTAACACAACAGGATCCTGGTATCCATATGTAGGCATTTGCACTATTTTCAGTTTTTTTATCAATGTGTCATATTTAGAATGAACATATTTCTTTGAAAGCAAAGTCTGCTGTTGTAATCTGTCAGTCCAGCAGATGGAGATGGTTGTGGTTGGGAGAACCAAGGCTTTGCGGTTACAGTAGTGAAAAACAATTACTCCAGGCTAGCAATAATCTGTAAACCAACACATGCAGTTGGTGCATTTTTATTATATTATACATTTTTAATTATATAAGTTATGACCATAGCTACCGTGCTGATGTAATGCACAATTTTTCTTAAAGCAAGCCAAGAAAAAATTGTTTTGATCGATATAACCAGATGTTGCAGTAAATGGTCATTTATATGAATTTTTTTTTCAAGTGAAATGTAAATCTGAGAACTTTGCATTTGTAAATATTTATATAGATTTAATTCCATATCAGTGTTTTAATATTTTCTTAAATACCAGAACTTTTTGTAATCTAAAATCTCTTGCAGTATCATTAACTGCATTTGTGTATTTTATCATAAGTATAAAAACTAAATTGTTTTGAGTGATTATCTGAATGAATGAAATTTAATATAGTTTACAGGCAAGGCATTTCAATTATTTATTTTTCTTTCTCTCTTTCTTCCTGTAGAGCTGCCCCCACAGAGTGGCCTGGCAACCCAGTATGAGAATATATCCCCCAATCGCAGTGCCACTACAGCCTCTACCAATAGCTGCAGCAGCTGGGATCCACTGATTATTGACGAGTGCGATACGGAGGCGTGGCCTTCCATTTCATGCAAAGAAAGCCACGCCCCTGCAGGATGCCCCTTGGACACTGAAAGTATCAGTAACATCAGCAGCATGAGCATGGCCACAGGAGCTGGCCAGCAAGGCCATTTCTCCACCAATCACCCCAGCAAAGCCAATGCCAGCCACTCAGGAGGTCTACTCTCTAGTCAGGGTGGGGCCAGCAGAGGCTGGGGCTCTGGCCCATCTCCTGCCAGTGGAGGAGAAGGGAAGAATGAAGTCTTCAGCCCATCAGTGGGAGCCAGGGGTTGGGGCTCCTCCAACTTTAACTTGAACTTAAACCCCAACGCCAACCCCTCTGCCTGGCCAGTTCTAGGACATGAAGGGACCGACATAGGTGGCGGCAGCTCTGGAGGAAGCAACCCTCCTCCTCCTAATATCTGTAGCCCACCGGGCACTCTGCCCAGTCAGGGCCCTTGCAGCAGTGGCAGTATAGGTGGTGCCAATGGAAATTCTGCAGGTAATGGTGGCAGTGGCAATGGCAGCACCACATGGGGTAGCATTGTGCCCAGTGACTCCTCAGAGCCACACTCCACCCCATCCATGAATGTGTCTTTCAGCTCCGAACCGCAGAACCTTAACACTGATGGACCAAATCACACTAAGCAAGAGCCCAGAAGCCCTGGCCACAGCCTGCCCAACTGGGGGGTTGGCCCTGCAGGCATGGGCTCATTTGTTCAAAATTCAGAAGGAGCCTCACAGGTCAATGGGGATGAAGAACCTGTTTGGGGTAATGGAGATGCCAAGTCTGGTAGTGGCTCAAAAGACGCTGGTTGGGACTCAGGGAGCAGCTGGGGACAAGGAGGGGCCTCAGGCACTTCTGGCTGGGGACAAGCTGCCTCAACTGGAGACTGGGGTAAGCAGTCCAACAGTGAGCCCAAAGGATGGGATTCTTCAAGCTCTCCCACCCAAGAGCAGCAGCTAAATTCTTGGGTCCGTGGGGCCAAAGCCCCAGCCAGTGAGGGAAGCAGTGACAGCATGGAATGCCATCCTCGTAGGAAGGTCTGTTCATCAAGAGATGAGGCTTCCCCTATTCTGCCTGCCCAGGATATGGACCCTCGGGTTCTGTGTAACACAGGCTGGGGACAAACACCAGTGCGTCAGCACACTGCTTGGGAGACCAAAGAAGCTGCACGCTCCAACTGTAAGAATGACATTGGAACTGAATCCTGGGGCTCATCCTCAAATGCAGCCAATGTAGGACCAACACCAACATCTGGCAGTGCCAACCCCAACTCTGGCACTACATCCAGACCAGACTCTGGGGGCAAGAATGAGGGCCCATGCCCCAGTACTGGAGCTGGACCTGGATGGGGCACAGCCATGCCGTCACCCCAGGCTAGCTCTGGTTGGGCAGATCCTACCAGCAACAAGAAACCTTCCAGTGGTCCTGGAAGTTGGGGCAGTACCCAAGCTGGAGGTCCAGGTGGCAACCTGCAGAAAAGTGGTCAGACTTGGGGCTCAGAGGAGAAGTCTCCTACCTGGGAAGACAGTCATGCTAAAGCCAAACCACAGGCCTGGCCTGAGGGGCCCAACCCTTCTCGTGGATGGAGCAATGGACCTGGTGGAGAAAGCGGGTCTGGAGGAGAATGGGGTGAACCTGGAGATGGAAAAAAAAAAGGTCCCTCCAGCTCGACCTGGGATGGAGAGGGTACTGGCTGTAATGAGGGCTCCAGAGGATGGGGCAAGCCTGCCCCAGGCGTAGGAGGAAACTGGGGAGATGCACAACACCCCAGTATGCCATCACAAGGATGGAATAACAAGCCTCAGGAGGGCACCAATGGCAATAGTGGCAGTGGAAGCATGGGCTCTTGGGGAGGTCCTAGCTCTGTAAAGCAGAGTGGCTCTGGATGGGGAGGAGGAAATGGTGGAGGTGTTAAACCTGACAATACTGGAGAGCCCACTGGATGGGAGGAGCCCTCTCCACACTCCATCCGCCGTAAAATGGAGATTGATGATGGTACCTCAGCTTGGGGTGACCCAAGCAGTTACAAGAAGACAGTCAATCTCTGGGACAGGAATAACCCTGGGATGCAAAGCAAACCAGGACCTGGCAATGCCAACAATGTACCCAACAACCATCATCATCATCATCCCCACCATAACCAGCCTCCCATGCAGACCCAGAGTCATGGAGGGTCAAATTCAAACAATAATCACATTTCTCCTGATAATACTGGCCCACATCCAACAGGGCCACCTCACAAAAGAACAACCCTCATGAATCCAGGTAAGACCTTTACCTGGTTAAAATGTATCACTCTGTTTCTTTGATAATTTTGCCATACAAGTGAAGAAAAAAACTAACTGTTCATGATAAGAGAACATGCTAGGAGAAAAAAAAGGTTCAGGTAAATCAGTCAACAGAATAGTGTTTACATTCTGTCTACCAGTGTAGTTCAGGTTCGCATTTGAGCCATGAGGAAGTGTGTAATTAGAGTCGGGTCGCCATCTGTGGGGAGTATCCCTAGGCCTCAGCAGGATACTTGGAACAAACCCGACGCCCTCTGCTGTTTGTGTGTAGCTTTGCACTCCCTCTGCCAAAGCTGTATTTAACATGGCATCCTCAGATCTCCCTTGTGCCAAGAACTAAACGGACATTTAATATTGCAACTTAATATTCCATTTTATGACAGAGGAGCCTACAGTTACATTTATTTTTTAAAAGAAATAAACAAATAAAAGTTTTAATTAGAATAAATGTCTAAAAAAACTGTAAAATTCATGTTAATTTTTGTAATTAAAATTTTTATGCAAATAATATAATTTATAGAGGGAAAAATACAAAATATCTAGCTTTTGGACAAGACTGTATATACCGGTACTACACGGTGCCAGCCTCAAGAGAATTTAGTATATGGTTTATGATACAGTGAAAACTAAAGGTGCACTTGTCCTGAGTTTTGCCGTGTTTCTTTGCAGGATGGGGCGAGATGACAAATGTCCATTCAAAACCTGAACCCTCATGGGGAGAGCCAGCCACCCCTGCAGCAAATCTGGACAATGGCACTTCAGCATGGGGTAAACACCCAGGCGGCTGGGGTGATAATGGCCCTGAGGTCTATGGTCGAGGCAACGGACCTCCTGGATCTGCCCCCTGCAAACCTGGTTAGTTTTATGAATGTACATTTATTTATTAATTTGAATAAATATAATTTTATTTGCTTTAAATGATTTTATGTGATTAAAAAAAAAAATCAGGTCAGGTGATAGATATCAGAGCTTTGACGTGTGTAACAACAGGGACCCCTGTTGTTGTAAATAATGCACTACAGGATTATATATTTTTTCGTATCTCAGTAAGGAAAAATTAGTTATTTCTATTGTTTGTAAACATAACCAGTAGCAAATGTTAATCTGTGCTTCTACTGTGGACATATTCAATAATATGTCTTTTTGTTCCTCCAGGCCCCAAATCTATGCAAGATGGCTGGGGTGGTGGAGAGGACATGGGCCTGTCTGCAGGGCAGTGGGAGCAGGATGAGGGTGACATGTGGAATAGCACTGCATCTCAAGAGAGCAACTCCTCCTGCAGCTCCTGGGGTAACCCACCCAAAAAGGGCCCACCAAAGGTAAAAAAAAAAAAGCTACGTAAGTTGAATGTAGGTGTCATTACATGCTGCAAATGCAGCTCATCTGTTTTTCTTTAAAGGGAAAAGTCCCAAACAAACAGGATGATACTTGGATAATGAATCGTCTTATCAAGCAGCTGACTGACATGGGCTTCCCTGTGAGTACTGCTTCTCTTTCATAAAATAGCATTTCTCACTCTGTATATTTGACTGTTGTCCCTGGGGTTAATTTAGCGATACTGACTGGCTAATTGTACATTATCCATATAGTTTAAAAAATATCCAGTTGCAAATGTATTAAATTATTCAAATTAATATTTGTAATAAGTATTAATGCAAATGGTTTATACAGTATATGGTGTTTACTGTGTGTTTGTGTTTGCCTTTGCAGAGAGACCCTGCAGAAGAGGCTCTCAAGAGCAACAACATGAACTTGGATCAGGCCATGAGTAGGTGTTATATCTGCAAAATTTGATCAGAGCTTCTTTGCTAGAATATTGTATTCAAATATAATTTGTGTGGTAGGTGCCCTGTTGGAGAAGAAGACCGAACTAGATAAACGGGGGATGGGAATATCTGACTATAACAACGGCCTAGTCAATAAACCAATGGGCTGCAGGCCTTCAGTCATCTCCAAAGAATCCTCTTCAGATCGTCCCCCCTTCTTGGACAAGGTATGTGTTTTTCACAATTAAAATTCAGCACATTGTAATTATTGCATCTAAAAGACTTCACATTGTGCTGGATTTTGTTTGTCTTAGCTATTTATTTATTTGATAATTTGCTCATTAGGATGCTGCGCTAGCAGATGATGCCCAAACCTCACCGTTTATGCCTTCTCCGAGCCTGAAGCTCCCATTGGGTAGTGCTGCACTCCCTGGCCAGAGTCTTGGAGTTGCAATGCAAAACTTGAACAACAGACAGGTGGGTCTGTGAGGATCTATGTGTATTTTGTATTTCAGCATTGTGTTAATCATCGTCCACCTGGCTGCCAAGATACTGAAATCTTTATTGCCCGATGTTAAACCGATTTAGAATGAGTTGTTTTGTGTGTTTGTGTAGATGCAGAGTGGAGTGTTTGGTAGTAGCGGAGCAGCACAAGCCCGGGCCCTGCAGCAGCAGCCTCCTCCCCAGCCGTCAGTGCCACCTCTCAACTCGTCCCAGCCTAGTCTACGTGCTCAAGTGCCTCAGTTTTTCAGCCCTCAGGTGTGCAAACAGACATAGATGCATGTAGTTTAGCACCTTATTGTGACACTGACTTCATTTGGTGACGCATAGTTTTTCACCGCTTGAGTATATGTGGAAATGATGAAATCGTGCTGAAGTCTGACCGTTTTGTTCACTGACAGGTTCAAGCACAGCTTTTACAGTTTGCAGCAAAAAACATTGGTCTCAACCCTGCACTTTTAACCTCACCAATAAACCCTCAGCATATGACCCTGTTGAACCAACTTTATCAGCTGCAACTGGTAAGTGCCAGTCTTTCGACATCTTATTGATCTGTAATTAAAGAATGTTTTTTTTTTATTTGTCAGAAAGCTTAAATTTCACTCCTAATTTCTCATTGTAATGAAACCTTGTCATTTTGATCTTGCAGGCATACCAGCGTTTACAAATTCAGCAGCAGATGTTGCAGGCACAGCGCAGTGTTTCTGGCCCCATCCGACAGCAAGAGCAGCAAGTGAGTGGTTCCTTCCCACAGCTAGTGTCACCCCGATACCATTAAGATCTCACAACCCTCAATACTGATTTGTTTGTTTTTAAATTCTAATGTGACTTTTAAATCTCAAACTTCTATAAAGGTGATCTGTGTTCACAAGCATGTCTTCTCGCAGGTTGCACGTACAATCAATAACATGCAGCAACAGATCCAGCAGCACCAGCGGCAGCTGGCTCAGGCTCTGCTGATGAAACAACAGCAGCAGCAGCCACCCACCTCACACCTGGGCCTGCATCCCAGCGCAGGCAAATCAGCTCTGGACACATTTCCAGCCCACCCCCAGGCCTCCAGCCTCTCTGTTTCCGACCTTCAGACCAAAGAGCCGCAGTCTTCTCCAAACTCCTTTTCACCATACCCTATTTGTGAGTTACCAGCACTTTGTGTTATTGTATTCTTTCTATTCAGACTAGCGACGATCCAAATATTCTTCTGTACACTGTTCCCACAGTCCTAGTAAACCTGGAATTGCCACAGAATTTTGATAGTCTTAAAGTCATGTACATTTCTATAGTGAATATATTTTTTTCTAGTCCACTCTAAAATGTATAATCAGCTAGATATTGCTCTTTGGTGCAGATAAGTTGATTTGCATGGCATAGAGATTCTCAATTTGTGAGCAAATCTTTTCTTTTCGATGAGTCAGTCAAACTGGTTCACAAATTGACACAAAAGATTCATTGGTAAATGTCTAAATCATAATGATTTTTAAAAGCCCTTATTCAGTAACAAATGATTTGAAAAGTCATGGGAATTTTTGGGAAGCTATTTTCTCTCTCAATCCAGTTCACCCTAAATTCAACCCCGCTGATTCTTGCATGTGTACTTCTCTGCAGCTGGATTGAACCCTAACATGAATGTAAACTGCATGGAAGTGGGTGGCCTGTCCATTAAGGACTCTCCTCAGCCTCAGTCACGCCTGTCACAGTGGACACACCCAAACTCCATGGAGAACCTCTCTGGCAGCTCCTCTCCAATGGAGCCCAACTTCAGCAAGCATGGTACACATCATTATTATAGATATCAGTATGCATATTGTGAATATGTGGTAGTGTTAATTTCGTTAACGAAAACTATGATGAAATATGTTCGTCAACAAGGTTTTTCCCCTGACGAAAACGAGACGATAATTAGGTCATTAAAGGTGCAATATGTAAGATTTTTTTATTAAAATATTCAAAATCCACTAGAACAGTGTTATATATTTTGCTGACTTGTGTACTTACATTATCCCAAATGTTTCGAAGAATGTTTAAATCCAGAGAAATAAGCAATTTTAACTAGTGACACGGACCGTGTCTATAGTGCCAATGTGTCGCCTGCCAATGACGTCATAAACCCTTGATTTCCACTACACCCTTGGTTTTTTGTAGAAAACATGGAAACACCAAAGATGCTTTAATATGTTGTGCATTTTATTAGACAGGTGACGACCGCACAGAGTAGCACTATAACAGAACTTTCAAACGTATCTAGTATGATAAAACGGCGCTGCTTTACACCACATACGCACGACCAGAAGGAGCGGAAGCGCTAAAGTGTGGCATAATAAAAGCTCAGCTGCTTTCGAGCCGTGTTTCACGCTCGTCTCTCATTAGCAATTTCTTCAGCAGCCTCGTTTCGCTTCGACGGCTTTCCACCTCACTCTGCTTCATACTACGGTGTTAATAAATCTTTAATACATTAGCTCATCCATGGACATGATTTCTGCCCGAGTCCCCTCGGATTGCATCGGCTGTGGGGATGAAGACGACAACTCCCATGATTCCACACTCAGTCACGGAGTAATCTAACTACGCCTTTGTTTCTTTGTTTGTTTTGAATACGCGCCCTCTAGCGGTGAAAACTTACATATTGTACCTTTGAATGATAACTGAGACTAAATGAACATGCAATATCATTGACGAAAAAAGACAAGACTTAAAATGTAGTTAAAAGAACAAAATCTTTACTTTTACTTTATTTTTGTTGAAAAAAGTGGAGCCAAAACCTTTCAGACTGCTGTACAAGACTATCACGCGAGCATTAATGTTTGAGGTTGCCAGATATCAAGAGTTCAAATCCCAGAATCAGAGCTTTTCTGTTAAACGGATACGTACTCTGCTCTGCTTTTTGTTTTATGCAATCTGGCAACCATTCACACGCCCTCTCTCTGCAGAGGCGCTGTGATCTGAAAACAGTACTGTACAAGTAAGCTGGAGTTCAGCGATCTCCGTTTGAGGTATTCTGCTTAAATGAAAGTGTCAATCAGCCAGTCTGTGTTCTGTCATGGATCTCAACTGCATTGTTTGTGATAGTGGTTACTGATTGTAACGTTAATTACGCAGCCTTTGTGCAGCAATAAGTCTTTTTGCCATTTTTTTAAAAGAGAAACATTAATGCAATTTGGAATTATTGGAATTACTATTAGGAATTTCTCTGTTATAATATTTGAGAGTATGTTTTTGTAACACAGGTTTTCATAACGTAGACAGTGCGAGTGTATATATTAAGTATTTGGTGTTTATTTAGCCTCTAATTGATATCCTGTTATAAATCTGTACACTAGATAAGGTAAAATAAACCATGCATACGAGTCGACATTCTATTGATTTGTGCCTATTGGTGAAAGAGCAACTTCTGATGAAATGTAAATATAAATTTCCCAAAGGACAACAATCATTGCAATTAAAATTGAGAAAAATATTTTTTTTTTCATCTTTTTAACCATTATACAGTATGACAAAAATGTGTGTTTCCATTCACTAAAACTAGACTAAAATTCTCAGACATTTAGTCGACTAAGACTTGACTAATACTAAAACAGGACAAGTTGACTAAATATGATAAAAACTAAAAGTTAAATTTGACACAGGACTAAGACTACGACTAAATTAAAAATAGCTGACAAAATTAACACTAATATGTGGCATAGTAGTTAATATCAGGCATGGTACTGATGATATTCCATATCACCAATATTACACAGGTGCCATCTCTGCAGGCCCCAGTCTGGGTCCCCCAAGTAAGCCCACGCTGGATGACTCCTACAGTCCCTACAATCTGATTCCCAGCTCCGAGTCTCCTGCCAGCGCCCTGGCACCTCATGATAACTGGGGTCAGGGAAAGAACACAAATGACAAGATCTCCAATGGGACCAATGTCAACTGGCCTCCAGGTGACTAAATGGCCTCTCTAAAATCTCTTTGGACTAGTAGGATTATGATGCAATTTCAAGTTTTCCTATCTCTTTGAAGTGTTACAAGCTCTTGGTGCATAAAGAAGATCTGTAAAGTTGCAAAGACTAAAGTCTCAAATCCAAAGATATATTCTTTATAAAATTTAAGAGTCAACCACGCCTACCTAAACGGCTCATTCTAACACGCCCCCACATGTCTACGTCACTATGTGGAAATATTAGCATAATGCCGCCCAAATGTGCACGCAAAGAAAGAAGGCGTGGTTTCAGGAACGCAGTCGTGTTGATGCAGCCATGTCAGGGAGACGCTGTGTGATTCAGTGCGAAAGCAAAAGCACTTTATTTGGCCTTCCGGAAGTAGATGCAATTAGGAATCATTGGTTAAGATTTATTTACAACAGAACAGCACAACCCAGATGTTCGAATTTGTGCAACGCATTTCATGGACGACAGTTTTTTTTTTAAATCTAGAAGAGTACAAGGCTGGCTGTGCACAAAGTCTATTTCTAAAAAAAAAAGTAAAAAAAAAAGGGTAAATTCCGACTTTGCTATGATAAGGGGCGTTACATTTCCAACGTGTGCTTGTGGTGTTTGACCAATCTCAATGCACTGGGTCAGCTGGCCAATCAGAGCAGACTGTGCTTGTCAAAGGAGGGGGCTTTGTTGAAAACGACGTGTTTGAGAGAGGCGGGGCATAGAGGACCTACAATAATGTACAGTATTTGAAAAATAATGTGTTTTTTGAACGTTAAAGCATGTCAACATATTCTGTTACACCAAATACACCAAATAATGATCTTTAAAATAGCATCATATGACCCCTTTAAGCAGATTTAAGATTGTTCGAATACTTTTGGACAGTTAGGTCACATTTATAAAACAACCAAATGTCATTACACTAGATTAAAACAACATTAAACCAAGTAGCATCTGGGAAAAATAAATAAATTTTTTCAAAATGACTTTTAAGTGACTTTTAGTTGTTCAGCAGAGTTACTACAGGCGTAGTTCACCACATTAGCTATGGACATAATCCACTGTTTGACAAACTAACCATGTTGGAAAACCATAAAATACTGAAATATTTTCGTTTTGGAATATATAATTTAAGAAAGAAAATAATCCAATATTTTTTACATATTTGTTTTTAATAAATGCCATTGATTGGAACAGGGTTTTGCAGGATTTAAAAACATTTTTCAAATCATAAAAATTGGTAGTTAAAAGGAATAATTTTAATATAAAAACAATCAAAATGAAACCGTTACTAAAAAAGGCTGACATTTATTAGTTTACCTGCATGCCATGTGATCATTAACCAACATCAGAGAACTGTGAACATACAAATGTTGTTAAATTATTAAAATATTAACTTAAAATCTCAATGGGGCTTGAAAAAGTTTTGGAATCCCTAGATTGCATTATATAACATTTATCCAAAGACAGTCTCACATTTTTAAGTGTACCAAATAGTGTATGTATTGATAGACAATGTGTCATGCTTGATCTGATTGGTATGAAATCCCTTAGAGTTTTGTCCAGGAGTGCCCTGGAAAGGACTGCAGAATATTGACCCTGAGACTGACCCCAATGTGACCCCAGGGAGTGTTCCCAGTGGGCCCACCATCAATACCAACATTCAGGATGTGAACCGCTACCTGCTAAGAGACAGGAGTGGAGGTAAAAAAAAAATAAAAAATCTATCAGTTAAGTTTCTGTCAGATGACACTGAAAGCACAAAGCTTGAATAAATCCCATAACACCATGTGTAGTTTTTATATATTCTGAATAAAATGTATTGCGTATTGCAGTACTGTTTTTATTTAGAATGTCTAAATGTTTTTCACATAATACAACCACTAAGATTGCAGTTGGTATTTTCTTTCATTTTCTTTTCTTTGTATTTTCTACGTACGTTATTTTTCTGATTCAACTTTGAATTATTGCCTACTTTGTGCGGGACATATCGTAGGTTCCACCCCAACTTCCTCACTGGGTGAGGCTCTGCCTCCCTCCAGCGATTTGCCAGTCACTAGCTCTTTCAGTCTGTCCTCCCAAGAGGCAGCCAGCACAGGTACAACTCCCAGAATCCCCTTCCTGCCCTCAGTCCTGCTCATCAAACTCTTTTCTTACCACTTACTGTTCAACCTAGCATGGGGCCCTAAAACGGTGGTCACATTCCTGTATATCTAGTACATCCAACTCAAGTGTGGCCCTTTCCCCCGTAGAGAGTTCTATCCTGCCTACATTCATCTGTACATCCCCTCAGTGGTGTTAGTCACACACTGTCCCTTTGTGCAGCATGGTCACCGGCTATCTGTGATTTTTGTGAGGTGGAAGTGCTGAGAAGGCACTCTTTTATTTGTGAGACATGAACTCTTACAATATAACACATGGGCCTGTTTGCGGTGGCACCTCAGTGACTGTAACTACTGTGAGAACACCTTTCAGTTAGCAAACACATATACATCTCTGATCTACAGGGAAGCTGTCTGACTTGAAGTCTACTTGGTCTCCGGGGCCCATCTCGCACACCCAGGCTTCTCTCTCTCATGAGCTTTGGAAAGTCCCACAAGGACCCCGGAACACAACAGCTCCCACACGGCCGCCCCCAGGCCTGACCAACACCAAGCCCTCGTCCACGTGGGGCGGAAACACCCTGGGCCTGGTGGCTGGCTGGAGCAGCTCCTACTCTTCAGGTGTGTGCATAAAAGGGGCAGTTTAACACTAGAACCGCCAAAGGGTAAATGTTTTTTTGTTTTACGTTTTTCAAATGTACATGACAGATTTTACTAAAACTGTGTAATTTACAGTCCCCTGATGTTAAAAATTGTTTAGGCAAAACCAGATAAAAAAACTGGGCATTGAAAAACAAATTAATAATTAATTAGCTGAAGCTGTGCACTTAAATTTGTCATCGCATCGTACATCCTATGCAGTGTGAATTATGGTTCATTATTGTCTTATCTATTTTAGTCATTTAACATGGGTTATCTTAATATATTGCTTAATTACATTGTATTATAATATTACACTACCCAGATATGTATTTATTTCCTAATTTTTCTCGTTGTCAGTGTTAAATTAAATAAACACGACGTTTACTCAGTTAACGCAATTTATTCCTTCCATCATCCCGCTCACATCAACAACACCGTTCCTTAACAACAACGCCCCCTTTTACCCGCGCGCTCACCTTTTAACCGGTGCATGCACTAACCTTATTTTTAACCCGGAAGAACCTTCTTCCATGTGAACAGAGTAGGGAGGAATTAACATGTTAACAATCTCCCTATACTTTAAACAAAGAAAATATAAATAAAAAACATACAAAACAAAAGATTAGTTACCAAAAAAAATTGTTGTATATCCTATTGAAAGTATCATTTTTTTTTATTAACAAGTGTCCCCAGTCCTTAACTAAGTGCTTTCAATAGCACCATAGTCCTTCACCGAATACTTTCAATAACATCAGGGCTGACGCTCCTTTTTTTGTAAGACAGTCAGCGAGTTGAGTTTTTGTGTCCGACCAGAGTACCTTCTTGATTCTTTTACTCTGTATGAGCTCCTTTATGCTGCTTATTTCCAGTCGAAGACGTTTCTCAGAGACCTGTTTTGTTGACTTAAG